TACAAAAATACACAGATGTGCACCAGGTAAAAAATCACAAATATCTTAAGGAATCTATAGTAAACAAGACAGGATGGCCCTTTCCACTTTAATGTATTCTCAAAAGTATGTGTTTTCATTGTCATGGAAAAACACATTGCATCCACAATACCGTTTTGATGTGTTTTTAACTTTCACAGTAGGCCTGCTTTCACACTAAAAAATTCGATGATGGTAGATTGATAGATTAATTCTGAAGCAAAAAAAGCCTGGGTAAAACTCACGTGGTTCATATGACATCATAATTGTTTCCATTTTGACGCATTTTTGACCATCCACACTACCACGAGTTTGACTAATGGTCGCGGGTCGCGGATCGCGGGTCCAAAGTCGCGGTCGCGGGTCCAATGTCGCGACAGGGGAAAATGATTTGGAGTTCGAGGTAACAGCTGAGTGAAAACGACTGATATGAACAATCTTTTTTTTATGCACAATACTCTACGGTAGCCAATTTACAGGTTACGGATGTCTGAGTCAACAAACTGATGTCTCAAGAAAAGACCTAAAAGAAAAAGCTGGCCGACTTTTGTGTTCACCGCAAGTTTATTTTGTGTTCTTTCTATCGGGCCCAGTTATGTGCAAATTCAACTTTGAATGTACTTATGCATAACAGTATCTGATAAAAAAGTTACCATAAGTTCTTACCATTGCTCTTGTTTATGAATTGCTCACAAATGCTTAGGGGTTCATTTACTGAAAAATATGCGATACACTTCATAGACTACAAATTATAAACGTTACAACTTAAAGCCTTGTTTTAAAAAAAAGCGAACTCGGGCTCAAAAAGCTACGAGTCTGTCGGTAGAAGAAACGAGAACTCTTATATTTAACAAATGTTTTTGGCAAAACTGAAAGAAAAGGTAAATAGGCGCATGAAACTTCATTCAAGCGGTATTCAAGGCATGAATTTAATATGGAAACAAGTAATAATCCACAGAAAAGAGTCTGTTCCTCGAAGCAAGATTTTCGCTTAACGCTTTTATTTTTACAACTGAGACGGAAACCCAGAGTGTTCAATATAACTTCTTGTTCTCTTAACCTTAATGGCAACCAGGACAACCTGACAATAGGAAGCCATTCAATGTGCGTCTCAGTCAAATCTTGAAAACATGCATCGTAACTAAGTGAGTAAGTAGGTAAGGAAATAATAACGCCTGATATCATGAAGCTGAAAGAGAAAGTAAACCAGACACTGAAAACGGTAAGTTATCAACTCTACCATAGCCTGCGAAAACATCCGTTTCTCCTCGCTCTTCGCCGCTGGGGACGTTTCGCCCGGAGGAACGTCTGCGACTCAGCGACAGAAATTCCATACTGATGACGCAATTCAATGTTTACATAATAAATCCGGTAGACATGGGGTTCCAAATATAAATTTGTCCATTTTCACGTGTCTTCTGGTCGATTTTGGTAAAGTGTTGTGTTGAACTGCCAACGAGCGCCAGCAAACCTTAAATGCTTTATCTAGGGAGAGCTATATTCCACAAACATTGACTGTATTGTTAGAGATTCTTCGCGTTTACATTTGACCTTTGTAGCCTTTTGTCTGTCATTCGTAAACAATAGCTAAAACAATGTAACTGCTCCGTCGACCAATCAGCTCTTCTGACCAGATTTCGGACAGATATATGTCATCAGTATGTAATTTCTGTCGCTGAGTCGCAGACGTTCCTCCGCGCGAAACGTCCCCAGCGGCGAAGAGCGAGGAGAAACGGATGTTTTCGCAGGCTAACTCCACCAGAGCTAACAAAAGACAATAAATTAGGTAAGTAATTCCAGATTCCAGGTACTGGATTCAAGTCTTTGTCAGTAGAACCAAGAGACTATGATCTATTCTCTCTTGGTAGAACTTGGATTCCGGATTCCAATTGTTAGTGGGAACAAACTCCTCTCTGTGGACAACAGAGGATAAAGCTCGAGCTTTATCCCCTCTTGCTGTGGATTATTACTTGTTTCTATATTAAATTCATGCCTTGACGAATACCCGCTTGAATGTATTTTACTGGCACTTCAAGCCCAACGTCTCTCCTCCTCTTTCCAGTTACCTATGCAAAGAGTATATTTTGGGAGTTTGCGACCAGGAAGTTTTTCAACAAGCGTTTTCTTTATTTTTGCCGAAAACATTTGTTAAAATTGAAACAGTTATTGTTTCTTCTACCGACAGACTCGTAGCTTTTCGAGCCCGAGTTAGCCTTTTTTAAAAAAGGTTTTAGGTTGTTGTAACGTTTATAATTTATAGTCTATGAAGTGTATCGCACATTTTTCAGTGAATGCACCCCTAAGCATTTGTGAGAGATTCATAGACAAGAAGAAAACAATGGTAACTCATGGTAACATTTTTTATCAGATACTGCTATGCATAAGTACATTCAAAG